TATTTATTACATTACGTAGGTATTGACGATGGTGGAATTTTGTCGATAAAATGAAATTTTTGACGAGTACTTAATGTTTTTTGTATTTTGTCATTATGTCAAATTAATGCACTTTATCATTCAGAATTTAGTATAGTTCTTTGTTCTACTTTTGACGCATTTATTATGTACGATAAAATTATCGATACGGGAACAATCATGTACATCACTATTTTTTAATGAAAATTGTTTTAGACGTATTTCAACTAAAATTAATGAAAATAAGCACTGCATTAGTTAGAAAAGTATTGTATTTAGTCAATTTGCAGCAACCACACTTGAATAGTTTGAAAAACAGAGATATTTTAATGAAAAATAACAGTACTTACCGATGTAATGTTACACCTGCCGGTTTAGTAATATTTTTAGTGCTACATCCAATAACACTGCACCCGGGCATAGTTCTTCTCACTAACCAATAATTTCTTTGTTTACCACGCACAAAAACAACAGGAATTCTACAAATTTTCGTAACAAAATATTGTTGACCAATGCTTTGACAGCTGATGTACCACTGACATGCACTGATAACAGGGACTAAGATGGCCAATTCGGCACAACTAGGTTTTTCTGATGACGTCATAAAATTATGGCCAGAATGACAATAATATGTTGTCTCTTTCTGCATAAGCAAAGAGACATAAGTAAAAAAGAAACAACAGTATGTTTATGAATTTACCGTCAAGATGGATTCTAAATTCTACCCGTAGACAATAGCCAGACATCTATGTTATATTTATAAATCTATGGCTAATTCCAATACTACCTTCAATGTACCAACCTGCAAGGTACATTGTTGGTAATATTGGCATTAGCTATACTTAGGATTATCTGTAGACGTTAGTAAAAAAAAAATATACTAGGATCCAATTTTCAGATGGCGTTTCAAATTGATTGGCATAAATTTTTGACGAGTGGCAACTCTTATCCCCTATACTTATTATACTCTTTGTTGTATTGTATTGATTATTGATTTGTTATGAATATATACTAATTAATTGAATTTATAAATATGGAAATCTATTTAATTAACGGCAAAATGAAGAGAACTGTGTTATAGATTCGCTAAAATTAAATATGTGACGTGCAAATCTCACAACAAATATTAAAATTGTTTTTTGAATTCAATTCAACATCAAACATGTCCATACCTACAATAAACTACAGTGTACCTCCGCCACGGTTGGACATGCCGCCGCCTGTGGCAACTGTTCCAATAGCGACGTCGATGCCACCTCCGATGTATGGGCCTCCGCCTACGTTTATGCCGCCGCCCATTCCATATGTGGAGAAGCTCACACAGCCGGCGCCATCTCCTTCGACTGCTTACGCCCCTGTGACAACTTATACTCCAATTAATGTGCCCCCACCTAATGCGGTCTATCCCATGATGCCGATAGATATGCATTCACCGCCTCCACCCTACTATACACCACCATACGATTATAATGGATACAACTATAGCCAAACAAGACAAACACCATCATCCTCTAAAGACTGGCCAAACTCTCACTCCTCCACCATGAGCTCTGGAAAACCTAAACCATCAGGATCTTATTCCGAAAAGGATGAGAGGAGTCGCAGAGATTCTCATGATAGACTTGTTCGCAGTTCTTCATCAAGGAGACGTTCTCCTGGCCATGATAGACACTATGAGCGAGAACGAGAAATGAGACAACGTAGTGAACGTCGATACAGTCGTAGTCCAAGTCGTCATAGCAGCTCAAGTAGTCAACGTAGTCATGTTTGTCGTAGTCCTTCTTACTCTAGTCACAGAGAACGAGAAAAGTCTTACAGGCAAAGGTTTGATGAAAGGCGAGAGTATGAGCGAAAAAGATGTGAATATGAAAGACGTCACAGTCCATCTCGTAGTAGAGACTACAGGAGTCATAGTAGAGCTCATGATCCAAGAAAACTCAGATCTCCAAGTAGGCAAAGTTTTAGATCTCCAAGCAGAGATTCTCGAATGCGTAGCCGCACCCGTGAAATGTCTCATGTATCACAACGAAGTATCAGACAAGAACCTAAACCATTATCAGATCGTGAGAAAATTTTAGAAGAATACAGGTTGGTACATTCTTTGGACTGCACAATTTTTATGAGCTTGAATCCATTTCATACTTGTATCTCTTATTAACTCACTACTAAAAATTTTACCTTATAGGAAGAACTATTGCAAGACTTCTGAAGATTTCATTGAGAAAATGGAACAATGGTCTAAAGAACACAACTCAGATGAAGAAGAGGTAAATATACAAGCTAATAAGCAACAACTCACATTAACTAATAATATCATCAATTGCACATCACCCTTTATCATTAAGAACGTTACTCAACATTTTTTATAAATTTATTAGTATGTAAACAATGAAACATCTATAAACTACGAGATTGGTAACCAAGGCTCCGGCTCGAGGTGCAGGAGAAGGAATGGGGTGGTGTTTAGTCAGTAAGAGTCTGACACTCCCTTCCGCCTCACCCAGGCGGGAGCAGTCATTCGATGATTTTCCCCCCTTAAAAAATTAAGATACACATTTTGTTTATTGTTGAAAATAATGAATTAAGTCTGTGTTGAGCCTATGCGAAAGTAGCAGATTTAACTTTACCTTTGTGATATTTTTAAATCCTAGATGATCAAATGTAAAATCAAATAAAAATATGTCTTACAATTGTGATTACACAATTAAGAAAAAAAAATGAAGTTATTTTTGTTATTCCATATTTGGGGGTATTATGAACACACCATGAAATTACAAAACTATTGCAGGTATCAAAGATGTGGTTTAGAAGTTCTCCGGCAGAGTTGTACTATAAGCCAGCAGAGGCAGGTTCTGGAGTCCAACAAACTGCTAAATTGGAGAAGATCTGTGACACATTCTACCAGCAGCTGATTGAAAGGGGGCGGAATGCTAGACCTGAAGTGGATGAACTGCCACCTTTGAGACCTTCTAAAGTCGCCATGTGCAAACATAAATGTGAGTTTCTTATTTAATTTACCTCTTATTTACAAACCACATGAATAGGTTGATGGAAGTAATGCTAATACTAGCAGCTCCACATAATATGTCAGGGGGAACACAAGACCAGTTGTTAATGAATTTGACAGGGTATTATGTGTTGCCCCGTTAAAGGGAATCGCCAGGATTACAGGATTACAGATCAAATAATGGTTAAAGAGGCCATCATTAAAAAAATATCTTATAAATTTTGCACATGTGTTCAGCAGTTTTATTAATCACTGCAATTTACTTTTAGCTGAAGATGGAAGTTCTTCATCTGAGAGTGAAGATGAATGTCTGGATGAAGATGGTCTTCAAGGCTACACTGACAGGATCATGCTGGAGCTGCAGAGGAAGCAGAGTCACCCTAGGAGGCTACATCCTGAGATGTGGTAAGTAGCATAAACATTTGACAGTTTCATATTAAAATGTGAAGATGTTGCTAATTATTAGATTTCTCGGGCACTACACTCTTAAACGAAGGTTTATTCGCGTATGCTATGTTCGATTCGAGCACAAAAATAGTGCGCTTAAGCACCCAGTGCAGGGTTCTCTGGCTGTTATGACGTTGACAATTGAATCCGCTTCTTTATTTATTAAGCGAGCATTGACCTCTCGCAGACTGCATCGGGCAAATCGATCCTACCTAAATAACTCTCATCCGTACTAAAACTATTGTACAGCTATAATGATAAACTTTATAAACAACTTTGAAGAAAACTAGACGATTTTAAAGTTATTTTTTATTGTACCTACTACCTCGTTGGCTTAGTGGTCGCAAGTGCGACTGGCGGGCAAAGTATTATTGGTTTTTTTTTTTAAATTCTCAGTAGTAGCACGGAGTCTGAAATCTTGTGCTCGTTATGTGGATTGCCACATAATATGTCAGAGCCTATTGAGGCTCAGCCCCTATTACATGTTACTCATACCATAAATAGTAAAAACTGGGTGTTACATTGTACAGATAAGTGCCGTAATGTCGATCTCTGCCTACCCCTTCGGTTCCGGGAATAAAAAAGGCGTGATGTTATGTTATGTTTTATTGTACAGGTTTAACAATACTGGGGAAATGAACGGCGGCCCACTGTGCCGCTGTAGCGCGCGTGCTCGACGTTACGGCATGAGACATGGCGTCTATGCCAGTGAAGAGGCCTTCCCCAAGTGTATACCGACGCGGAGCAACATTGACAAGCTATATCATTACAGGTATTTTCATACTTTTATACTGCAAGTATTCTACTTAGGATAATACCTAATAGTTGTTGGCTTTTTTGAAAATAAAAGCATAAATAGACGATCGAACATAACCGTCGGTTTTGTCCGCTTCGGACCATATTGTATACGCACATTCTCGCATATTTTCAATGAATACCTCTGGACCGCCGAACCAAACTGACGGTACGGGGACAATCGTCAATTTGTTCTTTTAGGTGTAACTAAAATAACTGTATATGTAATAGGTATCTGCACAGAGTGCATTTTTTAGTTTTTGATAAAATGTTCCTTGGTACTTATTCTTATTAAGTAGGAAATTATTAATTATATTATAAATCAATTAAAATGATTATCCCATCCAATTACTTTGGGCAATAAGTCAACAATATAGCCAATTATAGGGTGTTTTATCAGCCTTGCTTTGAAAATGCAATCAATATAAGTCTTAACTCTAATCCTTTTTTACTTTATACATTCTGAAACATAATTTACCTTAATTTTTCAGAATAACAGTATCACCACCAACAAACTTCTTGATAAAGTCTCCAACGATAATAGCTCACGATGAGCACGAGTTCTTATTCTCCGGGTTTTCGATGTTCTCTCACTATAAACTAGCAAAGTTACCTACGTGCAAAGTAATAAGGTTCAATATCGAGTACACTATCTTATATGTGGAGGAACCAGCGCCACAGAACTTTACCGTCAAGGAATTGGACCTGTTTGGTAAGACCTGTTTGATATTATACAACTTATAAATTCGTATTGGGAGAGTCGATGTCTGGCGAAGCAAAATTCATAGTAACTATCTAACTCCCTCGTTAGTGGTTAGTTAAGTCGCGTTAATTTGGTCGGGGAAAGTATATTGAGTGTTTTCGGATAGTCGACATTTTTAATTATAGTAAAGAATCTGAAATTTTGCCTGGTTCACCCAATTACCAATTGTGCCAATTACCGCTTTTTCCCTAATTCCTTGATCTCCAACAATCCTTAAATACTTAATTCCAAAAGGCCGGTAACGTACATGTAACGCCAATGGTGTTCTAAGTGTCCATGGGCGACGCCGAAAACTTATCATCAGGTGATCCGTATACTCGTTTACCGGTTTATCCCATAAAAAATAGCAACAGCTTCACCCCTATTGTCTCCCGCCTATGGTCTCATAACATAACTGATGAAATGTAGGAAAAAAAAACTATAAAATGTGATTTTTTCAGAGGAATTTTTATTCTACGAGCTACTGGAGTTAGTAGATTTGGACTTGGGTAAAGGTACTGACACAACTTGCTCGCAGTTTCACTTCATGCCGAGATTCGTACGATATTTACCCGAAGGTGGATGTGAGGTACGAAATTATTCTTTATACTTAATAATAGTTGCACTTATTCTCTATTCTTAAAAAAAAGTGGGTTCTCGTTCAGTTTGACCTGAGACGATTAAAGTAACCGAAACGTGACGGCGTTCTGAGGCCTTAGTACGAATTTCTTTTTCGTTTAAGGTAATCGAAACGAGTACGCTTTCGGCGCTGTGATTGGCCGGCTCCAATGAACCAACCAATAAGAGGGCCGGACGCCATCTCGTTTCAGTTACTTTAAACGAAAAAGAAACTCGTACTAAGCCCTCTGTGCTCTGATTGGTTGGTTCATTAGAGCCGGCCAATAACAGCGCCGAAAGCGTACTCGTTACGATTACTTTAAAAAGAAACTCGTACTAAGGCCTCTGTATGTATATATGTTTGTGCGTAATTATCTCGCTACTGCTTGGACTATTTTGATGCGGTGAGTGTTTGGTACACTTAGGAGATTTATATTAATTGACTGACTTCAAAAAAAGAAAGGGTTGAAGTCGATGGTTTTGAACGTATTTCTTTTTTTTAATACCACGACGGTGTCAAAAAACACACGGCCCATCTGATGGTAAGCGGTTACCGTGGCCTATGTACGCTTGCAACACTTGGAGCATTACATGCGCCTTGCCGACCCAATACTTTGTACTTTGAACGTACTTTATACACATCTATTGACCACAATGTGTCCAGGAAACATCCTAACAATGTCTCAAAATCGCTAATTTGGATTAATTTCATATTTGTTTGGCGTGTATGAAGTCAAGGATTCTTTCCCATAAAATCTAAGCAGTAGTAAGTAAGGTCGACTTTCGTTTGACACTTAGTAATAATTCCTAAGATTTTTGCATATCTAATTTTTATGCCAATATTGCTACGAATTTACTTGGACAAATTATTTACGTGAGGCATAATAAAAGTTTAATTCAATTTCAGGTTCTATCAATGTGTGAAGTGCTGAAGTATTTGATTGACGAAAGTGGTTTATTGATAGCACCCGATACTTTAGAGGAGGTGCATAGAATGGACCACTACACTTGGCAAAAGTTTGTGGACAGGATTAAAGGTAAGAGAATATTAAATCTTTTACACACACAACATAAAATAACTTAATATGTCAATAGAATGGAGTAACTATAGTCTTTATATAATGACATATTGACCATAGAAAAGAAATATGGCCAAAGAAGTGAATTTTCTATTGCACCTCATTTGTACTCAAACTTTAAAAGCATTTTATCTCTTTGTCATCTTAATATTACATCTCTCATAATTCTCATATTGTAAATACAACTTTATGACCACCACTATGAAGTTCAAATTCAGTTGACAACCTATTCCCTTTTGTTTTTAATTTTTCTTCTTGTAAATAGCATCTTATACCCCTTAAAATAAAGCCTAAATTAAGATGACACACTGTTTTTATTATTCTAGGTATGATAGTGACATACCCAGGCAAGAAGCCATGTTCAGTCCGTGTGGATCAGATAGACCGGAGTCCACCAACCACATCTGATGACTCCAATAAGCCTTACTATCCGGAGATAGTACATTTTGGTATACGGCCACCACAACTCAGTTATGCTGGGAATCCTGAGTAAGTGAACTTAATGGAAATAACTTCAACTAAAAAGTAGCTTGTGTAAAACAACTATTGAATGAAGACAGTACATTAGTACTTGTGTTTCATTTTTGGCTTTATATGTAACTAGCGATCCGCCCCGGCTTCGCACGGGTGCAATATGCATGTATTATACATATAAAACTTCCTTAAAAATCAATCTATCTCTTAAAAAAACCGCATCAAAATCAGTTGCGTAGTTTTAAAGTTCTAAGCATACATAGGGACTGACAGAAGGCGGATAGCGACTGTTTTATACTATGTAGTGAAGTATTATAACTTTCGAAATTAACAGTTGGATTTGCATCAATTGCGTGGCATGGTGGTTTGGATCCCGTTACGGGAAAATTAATTTATAGGCATAATAATCCTACCTATTAGTATTTTTATGTATCCTGACTTGCTGATCTATTAAAATCGCGGTGCCCAGTCTCCTAAACTAGGCTTCTTCACTGTGCTGCTACTGTCTATACAAACATACTGCGAAAATACAGGTGCAATTTGTGTAATCTAGAAAATCTACAATATTGTTAACATTTCTAGATACCAGAAAGCGTGGCGATACTACGTAAAGTACAGACACTTGATCGCCAACATGGCGAAACCATCTTTCAAGGAGCGACAGAAGTTGGCCGCTAAAGAAGCCAAACTGCAAGAGATGAGGACCCAGAGTAAGATGAAACGCGATGTCACTGTCGCTATATCGTCTGAAGGGTTCCACACGACTGGTCTTATGTGTGACGTTGTTCAGGTCAGTTGTTAGATAAATGTGGTTGGATAGTTCAATCTATCAAATTGTTTGACTGCACGAACACTTTGGTGACTGGGAAACTGGCTGCCGCGCAACGTGCAACGGGTTCGATTCCCGCATAAAGTAACTCTTTATGTGATCCACAAATAGTTGTTTGTGGTCTGGGTATCATGTGTAATATGAAATTGAATGCTTGTTAGATTGTTTTTTGTGTTTCTGTTTTTCATACTCGTTTCTTAGGCTCTTGCATTTTTTACTCAAGAATCGTAGATGAGCTAAAATACATTAACCCGTTGAAAATTGTTGAAAATCATCCGGTGACCGCTCTCCACTAACTATACTATAGACCTTATTTCCAATGTTTAGAGATTACTTTTGTATGAACAAATTTAGGGGATGATTGTCAACAATTTTCAAGGGGTAATGTATTATACTTTCACCAAAACACTAATTTAATCAACGCGAAAAAAAAAGTGTTTCAAAATCACCTCAGCGCTTTAAGCGTTCAAGTCAATAGCAGATAAAACAAAACTCTATAAATAAATCCTAGCCGTCACGAGACTTTCACGGCTGAACATAGCCTTCTCCAATGACTTCTAGATCGTACAAATGCAGGGACTCCCTATAAACTTTACATTACATTTCATTTCAGCACGCAATGTTGATCCCAGTACTAGTAAGACATCTACGCTTCCACAAGTCGTTGGACAGCCTCGAGAATAAAATTGGATACGTGTTCAAACAAAGGGCATTGCTTCAAACAGCTCTCACTCATCCGTCGTATAGGGAGAATTTCGGGACGAACCCTGATCATGCAAGGAACAGTTTAACTAACTGTGGCATACGACAACCTGAGTATGGAGATAGAAGGATACATTATACTAGGAAGAAAGGTTGGTTATACTTTTATTATAAAGTATTTTTGCAAGTTTTGTTGTTATTATTACTGCGAATTTTTAAGATAAGTCCAACTCGCGTCTGCTTAGGACGCATAAGTTGTTTTTTATATTGCCCTTAGTATACTAGAATTGGGATGATGACAGTGTATGAAAATTAAAAATCTAATTAGTCCATAAGTTAGGTAATGAAAAAATATTAGACACGTATTTTTTATTTTGTCGTATAATAAAATACTTAGATAAAACGAATCAAAGTTTAGGAGTGGGGGCTAAAACGTCATTTCTACATACTACGTACATACATAGAAGTGACGTCACGCGACATTTCAAATCAATATATCGTCGAAAGAATTTGTTTCTGAAAGAAAATAAAAAATACGTGTCTAATGATTTAAATTAATCTACCAGAAGGACATTACAATAAAAATTATGCATGTTCCCTATTATCTCCTGAGTCATGGAAGTTATGTGAAGAGTCATATTGGATAAGAGTCGATACTACTGCAAAATATCGGTTACAATTTCAGTAAACAGTATAATATTATAGCCGATCCCGAAATTGAATCCGTCATCCTTGTCAGCAGACATGTTTGAAATGACTCGATCGCTCGATTCCAAGTATAATCAACACTAGAAACTGCTAAAATATCCAATACTTTTTTATAGCTTTGTAAATACACACCTACACGCACACACACTTACGTATAGTAGTTATATTTATTTTAGTGTCATATATTATTTATTTGGTATGTAGGTATAGGTAGTATTATATTGTATGTATTGGTTTGATTATTGTTGTACACTAGACGACCCCCTTTTTTCCAACTCCTGATAACTGGCTCCATCCAAAGGTTGCCTGTAAGAAATCGCATTCTGCGATAAGACCGCCCATTGTACACATTTTTTTTTATGTTTATTTTTCTATGTATGTTTTTATGGTGTGTAAATAAATAAATAAATAAATAATGACATCATAAACAAAACTATTCGTATCTTTTTCTCAGGTATCGTGACCTTAATAAACATAATGTCTCGGTTCGGCAAGAACAATGAGACGGAGTCGGATATAAAACACAACGAACGACTAGAGTTCCTCGGTGACGCAGTGGTGGAGTTTCTGTCCTCCATACATTTGTTCCGCATGTTCCCCGGCTTGGCTGAAGGAGGACTCGCCACGTACAGAGCTTCTATTGTACAGAATCAGCATTTAGCACAATTAGCTAAGGTTAGTTTATTGCTTTGACAGAAATGTTCAATTTTCTGTACTGAAGCGTATTGTATAGTGTCATCATCATCATCAACAGCCATTAAATGCCCACTGCTGAGCAAAGCCTCTTCTCATACGGAGAAGGTTTGAGCATTCATCACCACGCTTGCTCATTGCGGGTTGGCGATTTCAAACTTATAATTAGAAATTATAAGACCAGGTTTCCTCACGATGGTTTTCTTCACCGTTTGTCAGTGGTGTCTGAATAATCTTAAAAAGTACATATAAATCGGAAAAAGTCACATTGGTACTAGCCGTTGGTAGGTTTCGAACCGGCACCCTGATTCATGAGAAACGGGCGTCTTAAACCTCTGGACCACCACGACATTATTTGTATAGTGTATTAATACTAATTAACAGCATTGAGCAAGCGTGGTGATTAATGCTCAAACATTCTCCGTGTGAGAAGAGGCTTTGCTCAGCACTGGGCATTTATAGGCTGTTGATGATGATGATGATGATGATACGTGCTAGCTATGTGTAGTTTCATTATTTAACTTAATTTCATAATTATAAACAATGGAATTAGTTCAACCATTTTCGAGATTATCTCTAACTACGTTACTAACAAAATCATTTGTGTTACAGAACATAGAGCTGGAACAGTACATGTTGTACGCGCACGGCTCGGACCTGTGTCGGGAGGTAGTGATGCGACACGCTATGGCAAACTGCTTCGAAGCTCTCATGGGGGCATTGTTCTTAGACGCTGGGATTGATGTAAGTACACGATTTAAATTTTTCTAATAATTTATTTTACAATAATTACGATTTCAAAATTCAATCCAATATTCTTTTAGCTACATGATTTCGTGTGTATTTTTTTTAATGCCTCAATTCATTTACCGTATTAAAAAAAAACAGTTATCGATAGTGATGATGAAATGAAAAGACTTTTTAGTCAGGAGAACCATTCTACCATTAATTTACTATTTAATCTCTACAGGTAGCAGACCGTGTTTTCGCTCTCGCTCTCTGGCACAACCAGCCCGACCTCCTCGACGTATGGACCAAGGAGCGAGCGCATCCATTGCAGGAACAGGAACCGCTCGGTGACCGCAAATATGTCAAGGACTTTGAGTTCCTACAGCGACTTGTTAATTTCGAGAATTCTATCGGTAAGTTTCCGTTTATAAAGTTAACAAAATAAGATAAAAACTAAATAAAATATTAATCCAATTATTAGGGCTTCTGACGCTCAAAAAAAATTGTTAATATGTATTCGTACAAAAACGAAGGTTGTTGGGATATTGTCTTAATATTGATTTAGTTTTCCTATTTATAATTTCTTTGATCAACATATTTTTACGTTTTAGCTTGTCTTATGATTTTAAATTTTTGGGTTTAACGTAACCTACTAACTTCTGCAAGCTTAATAAATATTCTGATATGATTTTCTTTTTCTTTGTTTATAGGCGTCCAATTCAAGCACATCCGTCTACTAGCCCGAGCGTTTACGGACCGATCCGTAGGGTTCACGCATTTAACGCTGGGCTCTAACCAACGACTCGAGTTCCTTGGCGACACAGTGCTACAACTAGTCGTGTCTGATAGACTCTATCGACACTTCCCTGACCACCATGAAGGACATCTCTCTGTGAGTTATTCATACGTTCAATTTTAGATCTTATGTTTGTAGGGTAAGTCTGTTTTTTGAAATTGACAGACGGTAACGAGTTGATGTTTTAATTTTGGTTGAGAGATGTAGGTGCAATACTGTATTTCCCGTGTTTTGACGATTCCAGGGTCGGACGCCAAGCCTGGCCTGTGCCCAATTTATGGCAATGCTGAAAGGCTACTAAAATTAAAGTTGTACTTAAATATCATGCCATCTTTGTCGTTTTACAACGAATTTGTAGCGACACAACTATGTTCAAGTGCGACTTAAAATTGAGTGGCGTTTCAATATTTTAATATAATATAACATCATGTCTTTTATCCACGAAGGGGTAGGCAGAGGTGCACATTACGGCACTTAATGCCACGCCCACTGTACAAGTATTTTATTTTGAACATTACTGTCTATTACATGAATTCATAACATAAATTGTGAAAAAACAATACCCATTCTACAGTTGGGTAAAAATAAGTGTTATATTGTTGTTATGTGCAATGGAAGTTGTATATTTAAAATACAGTTTTAAAACATATAATATTTTAATCGAATCTACGGCTTGTTCCTCCAGTTGCTCCGTTCATCGTTAGTAAACAACCGCACGCAGTCGATGGTGTGTGACGACCTGGACATGTCCTCGTACGCGATATACAACAACCCCAAAGCTAAACCCACCACCAAGAAACACAAGGCTGACCTGCTTGAAGCTTTTCTCGGAGCTCTGTATATTGATAAGGTAAGTCAAAAATTCAATGACGATATTATTATATTGATTAAACTGTCAAACACCAAGCGGTCACCGGTGACCGCAACCTATTGTTCTATAATTGTGTCTATAATGACGGTACTCGACGAGTTAAAACGTATTGGAAATTATTTTTGTATGTCTCGTAATACGGAAAAAAATGCAGAATACAAATTGCATAATTCTGTAGTAGAAGCTTGCTACATTATTGCTCAGTATAAAATGTACTGAGGTGAGATGTCATGCGATATTTATTTCATTGTACCTGAAGGGCCGAAAAATAGTCTTCAGTTTTTATTGAATGTTTAGTAAAATATGAAAGTTATCTCTATAATTTCAATTGAGAATAAGATCAAGTTTATAGAACTTTACTCTCTTTTTTAAACTACTTAATGAGTGCTTAAATTATATTTCAGAACCTAGACTACTGCCAGGCTTTCTGCAACGCGTGCTTGTTCCCGCGTCTACAAGAATTCATTATGAACCAGGATTGGAACGACCCAAAGTCTAAACTACAACAGTGTTGTCTCACTTTACGGTCTATGGAGGGCGGAGAGCCTGACATCCCTGTATACAAGTAAGAGCTTACTAGTGTTTGTTTTGTTCCAAATCTATATAAATAAAAATTAATTTTAGTCTCGCTAAAACTTGAGACCTGAATCCATTTGGCTAATTTTTGGCTAGTTTAAAAGGTGAGTAAAAGTTTTTTACGCGGTCCGAAGTTTGCCGCGTCGCCTAGTCTTTGATACAATATTATACCATACTTATTTCTAGATTACCTTTTCTTTAGCTTTGTATTACGACCAGTCTTAATAACCTATACTCTAGATGTATCTGTGTCTATAGATGTATCTATACCCTTATGGGTAAGATAAATAAATATTCTATTTCTAGTTAGCAATTATAACAATCGATAGGTTATTAAAATATGCAATTAATAGACAAAGCCAAAGCTGAGTTTAACTAATCCATAAATACGAGTTAAAAAAATGAATTACACACTAATGGAACAATACCTACAGATTTAGAAATAACACCTTTCAGCTATATTCCAAACTATTGTAGCAAGTTCTGTACCTCGAATATTAATGTTACAGGGTGATCGAGTGTCTAGGTCCAACGAATACTCGCGTCTATACAGTAGGCGTATACTTCAGGGGACAGAGGTTGGCCGCCGCGCGGGGACACTCTATACAAGAGGCGGAGATGAATGCCGCCGAGAAGGCACTGAGCTGTGCTCATGGTATGTATAACTAAAAAGGGTTTAGTACTTATAATGGCGACACTAATACAGTCTGGTTTTCTAAATTATAAATTGAGCTTTATCTGCGACACAGACTAATCAATAACAATAAATGCATCACCACAGCAGAAAAACCAACTATCTATGTCACGGTACCTTGTAAAATATTACAAAATTTTACTAAAAAAATTGGTAAAATAATTACAGATATGACTAAAATCTCAATTTACGTAAATTTAGCGAAATAGTAGTCAAACGTCGACCCATTAAATATGAAAAAAACGTAACACGTTTGTAAATTCAGTTGACTAAAGTCCTAATGTAATATTTTATTCTACAGAACTATTCCCGCAACTAGATCATCAGAAACGAGTTATAGCAAAGAGTTTACGCAAGAAGAAGAAGCGTGCAAATGGTAGCAATAATAGCCCACAAGACGGGACAGCGGTCAACAACCCGAAATTCGACGACAAAGTACCAAAAGCTTATAGACTTGATACTCAGTACGAGAGTTCTGAAGAAAGCAACCCAGCTATGTCTGAAGAAGAAGCCGTACCAGCTGATAAATCCAATGAAGATTCTGGACTAGACAGTGACTCTTCATTGCCGCAAGACAAACTTGATCAAGTACAAGTAAGCAGTCTGTTAAGTGACATGCAGAAAATTAAAGAAGATTTGATTAGGCGCAACGAGTATGAAAAGTTGAAGGAAAAATGCCGCCGATCGGATTCTGATGATGACTAGTGAGGTTGAAGCTTTAAGTTCTGTTAGTATAGCTGTCATTACTTTTTTTTTGATAATGAAATTTGACACAAATAGAATTGAACATGAATTAATGTGTTGTAGTCATAGATTTCATGTCATTGTGTCCATTAATTTTCACTAAAAACATACTACGGTTTCATTTATAGGAATTATTTAATAATAGGCCTATTTCTTTAGTTATAATTATAATAGCTTCAATCTAAAACTCATTCATTTCACTAGAAAGTATACTTCGTTCTGATGTAATTTTGTGTAGTGGTTAGCCTAAGCCTATTATAATGTATCTGTTGATCACCGAATGCATTAAATACTCAACATAGATGTTTGTCGTGCGGATAAAGCTACATGACTTTGTCTGTATATTATTCCAAATTATGAGTAAAACCTTCATGGTTATTTCTGAACAGTTTTGTCTTTTAAAATGTGTGATATTGACTAATATGTATGTATGATACTGGGGTTTGTATATTCTTGTATTGATGACACTCGTGGATGTAGTGAAAATGAAAAGAGCTTATGAATTAAGGTCTGAATATATTCAAGAAAATCCTTGACCAATGAATCATTCTTCGAATTAAATCAAAATCAGTTTTGAATCTATCTTATTTACAGGCAGATACAGAAATACTCATTGAATAAGCTACTATAAACTTTACCTTTAACGAAATAAAGCTCATAATAAAAATTTCAAAACAGTTTAAGGTGGACGTTTTAATATCGCATATATATAGTGTAAAAAATAGGGCAGGACACGTGCGAAATTAACGCCTCGTGATATTGAAATGTCATCAATAATTATTTGAAAATATTTATTAACTTGAACCTTTTGACCGCCAGAGTGCGTGTGCACGACAAGCCAACCTGTGCCCAGTGCGCAATGATTGGTTTGTTTAGTGGAGCCGCCCAATCAGAGCGCCGACCGCGCTCGATATTTTTTTTTTTTTTTTTCTTCTTCTTTGGCAACCGAGTCTCCAAAACGGGGTTGTCGACTATACTACCAGTGTCGAGTGGTGACGGCAAAATTAATGAACCGTCGAACTTAACTTTGCGGTAGTTTTTAATTACGTTACGAATGCGATAGTTATTCATGTTTGGCACTCAGCACGTCACAATCGCGACTCTCAGACAGACTTCACGTAAATAAAGCTTTATTTTTTTATTTCCTTAAGTCATTCTTATTTATATTATTCCCGTTCTTTCGTTATATTTCGTCTATTATATAAATTACACAAAACATATTCTAAAAGAAACTATTTTTAGCTTGGCACTGAGGCATATCTTTGCTTTTTGACGTGGCGATCAAAAGGTTTAAGCGTCTGTATCTCAAAAGGAAAAGGTACATGTTGAAAGATGCAAATTATTTGTCTTTTTTTCGGAAATTAATAAGTAGAACTTATATCTTAAAAAATGAATCAAATGAATGTTATGGAATTTTGAGATAAAGGCATGAAATGCTAGACGAAGCAGACTGGTCACTTTTGACTGTAAAGAAATGTAAGTAGTTTTAAGCAACTCATGTATGTGTTTTTAGATCGATAAGTTTTATTGTCTAATAGTCCGGTCAAAAGAAACATTACAACAGATAAAAAATCGCACAGGCTTTGACTACACCTACAAATAAAGTATCAAAAGAATTCTATTAATGCAATGTGTACCAAAAACTTAACAAGGTTGTTTAGCACACTTGGATCCAATGGCGACTTTTGACGTGTTATTTGTAAAAGTGTATCCAAACATTGTTTTTTTTCATTTGATCACTAGTTTTATAGCGAACTTGACCGGACTATAAGTAATTTTTCCTATATTAATCAAAAATCAATTTAATGAAAGTAGTCAGTAAGGAGTATTTTACCTAAAAAGTCACCGGTTCGTACCATTTGTTTTTTTTTATTTTATCGAAATGGATTCTGTTTTTTATTCGTTGATTTTAATTAATTTCGTAATATGTATTGTTTATATTAGGTATAGTTTGACGGATATTGTTGTACGGCGATCTATTTAAACACGACGAGGTAAATAATATTTCAGGAGTTTGGAAATCAAAAGCTCGACTTCATAAGGTTGACATTCGGATCAGATAGACTCGCCGTACTACGCGATACACCGGTATCAGACAAATATAACACTTTTAGAAAGAGAATTTAGTATTATTTAGTTCTCCTTTATTTGTATGATTTACTTGTGTGATAAAATTTTTGGTTGTTATTCTAGACTTTAAATAAGAATTTATAGCTAAAGGGCTCATCAACTTGTAACACATCATTTCATGGCTTTTTGGTGCTTTTAGAGTATTTTGGATGGAGGGCAAAACGTGTGAATATATTTTAAGAGGCTCTTAGGTTTATTTCATTTGGGATTGGTACGAGTCAGCGTTGGGTAAGTCTTTTTGCAATGTAGTTTTCTTATTTAGGAATTTTATTCAATTTTCGCTCAATGTTACGTAGTCTTATCTACCTATAGTGAACTGTAGCTAATCCTCAAAACTAGCGTGAGTCGCTAGTAGTGTAACGAGTTGATGAGATGAACTTTAATGCTATAATATCTATTCAATGTAAGTACCAAGCAAATTCTGTAGCTTTTTAGTCTAACTATTTATATTGATACTAAATACAATGAATTACTATATTTGTCTGTCTATTGTCATAGCGACTTTATGTATTTAGAATCGTTTACAGTCATTTTCAATAACCCATCTGTCTACTAATTTGGCTATTTGAAATTGATATTTGACAATAAATTGCATACAAAATGTTTAAAAATTCCATCTCTATTAGCCAAATCAAACGACAGACAGGTTATTAAAACTGGTCATTAGTTGTAAGGTTATCATGTAAATTAAGAACAAATAAAATACTGATATAAATGGCGGTATATATTTTATTTCTAACTACGTTAGTACAATACAACGCAGCATAGAGTAAAAGCGATTGGTCCTTTCATTTTCTTAGCTCGTAACGTCAGCCATTGCTTCTGATTAGGAACGTACATCTCGGCTGGCATCAGCTGTTCTGGTGTGTCGTTTTCTGATGCTGTAAGTAAAAATGGATTTATAATAACTATCGTGAGACATACTAAATACTGTAGTAGGTACTGTAGTTGTAGGCTGCGCGACATCGCCGCGACCGCGCACGCTGCTCATGAGGAAGAACCCCTCTGTGGTTCGAAACTAGTAAAGCTTTTCTCAGTGAGTGACCCGCGATTTTTAGTTAAAAATGGACTTAATATTAAAACTGTAAAATTTAAATTTCATATGCTGATGATGAACTTACCCTCCTTCCGAACTTGTTGTGCGGACTGCATAGTTGAGTCTTGCATTGATATAAGATCTCCAGGAGCATGCAGCAGTAATCTGCCCACTCCTTCACATCTCCTGTAATAAAAGTTACAATTATCATATAGACTTCCAAATTACCTAAAATTAGTCTACGACGTCTTGTTAATTTGACGTATTTCCATAATAAAATTAAAATGGGATACCAGTTACGCTAAGGAAAACTTGATTAAACAGCAAACAGGTGCCTTATTCCCTTTACCTGACAAAGGGTTAAAATAATTAATATAAGCATGATTTACCTTAGCACTTCGTTCTGTAGCATTTGTTTCCTCGACGCGGTCGCCAGTTGTTTGCACTCGCTCAACCAGTTCCTCACTTCGTTAAAATCATGCAACAGTTGCATCGCTGCATCTTTTCTGAAAGAAAAAAATAACTTCTCTTTTATAAACAAATTAAATCATTTAATAGTTACTAGAGAATCATTTTTAACCTTGTTCACACCTTTAAGGGTATCTATATAACAAGGGCGTAGCGCCGTGTCTGCCGTATCAATTATACGATACGAGTGTTGAAAATCGTCAATTTTATACATTTTGATGTACTCTTTTTAAATCATCTTGGAAAAATGGCGGCAACAGGCTTTTTGTAATATTTTCCCCTATGCATTTCATGAGAAAAATCTTTTCCTATAGCCAAGGCTCGCTACGCCACTGCTATATAGGTACTGTATTGTACTAGACACAATAAAAAAATGTAAAAGATGTATCACACTATAGATGCATTACAGAGATTTGACTTGATTTGAAAAGTACTTACGTGAACTTAACTTTAGCGACGTAGATATGATGTAGCCAAGACTCGCACATTATTCTGAGTATCATGTTCAAAGTCGTTATGTCTTGCGTCGCCATTATTACCGGTAATAACATTTTATCTGGAACAAAAAGATCATTTTTCACATCTAAAGATATAGCAGGCATATTTATCTTTTTTTAAAAAAAAACGTGGCCTTCACTAGGATTTTTTCCAGGGTCGAGAGTGCGTTTGCAAACATATAAGTTCACATTCACATGACACCCAGACCCGGAACAACAATTTGTGGATCACACAAAGAGTTGCTTCGTGCGGGAATGGAACCCGCGACACATTGCACGCCAGCCGGTCGTGAAATTTATCTTTTTTTTATAGATAATATAATTATATCTCTTGGTAACTTACTTAGGAACTCGTGTACATAAATGGAATGTATAGTTTGCGGTGGTCTAGTGACGAGCCGCCACTCCGCGTTGCTCGGGAATATCATGGTCAGGTGGGCTAGGCTTGTGGTCGTACATACTGATGATAACACTTGGATTATTTCGTCTGTGGCGTCCTGGAAGTAGAATATATATACGATTTTAGTTTCATATACATATCAACCTCTCTCTCTTCTCTTATAATATCTTTTGATTCATTTCCTTGCGGGATATAAGACAGTTATACATGGCCCTGGGATGCGCCAGACTTATGGTTGTATCTACTATAGACTCTGGCTTACAGGAGTTGCAGCGGTTTTGGGAGGTTGTGGCGGGGTTGTCCCAAATAAAAAATATCAACAGGTCTTGGAAAGTCATTGCTGGACTAATGGGCCTCTTCTGTACAAGAAGATTAGATACATGTCACTATTCAATATCCAGGTGTGTCAGGCAGACTATGAGTGTTTGCAGTTTAAAAAGGTTAGGTTGATTAGAGAGCGCTGCGTTCCTATCCGGGCGTGAGAATATAATTGAAGAAGAATATTATTTAAACACAATGAAGAAATTATTATTACTGTATACCTTTAGTTTTTGTATGTTGACTTTTACTTCTGATACCAATTTCTCCCTCATCTTGGCGCATACATTTTCATGAACTCCAATTTTACCTGGAATATTTCAATTCGTACTTTAGAATCAGTTAGACAGCAGTGTATAATCTTAAATGTACTTGCCGTTGTTTATAAAATTAAATGTACGGAGAACGTACCTGATTCAATAGTAACTGTATGGTCAGCAAATCTCAAGTTGATTAGTTGTTCCATGCAAGCTTGCATGTCATTGTGTGCGATACGGAAGAAATCTTTCATTTCCCACAAGTTGGCTAAACGCCGTGTCTCCGCCAAACACCATAGCCGGTATGTGTGGATTGAGTGATCTGAAATATTAATAAAAAAAAAGAAAAATGTAAGTTTTGTGTTGAACGTCACAACGTGAATTTTTTAGACGTGATTTTTGAGGCCCGTAACACACAGTTATAAGTGGGCCCATTTCAAACACTCCCACCCTAGCCCTTAAAATCAGTAAGCAACTCTTTAAAAAGGAGGATGTTATGCAAACCAGTGTTGGGCAGAAACGTCCAACTATATGCTGAGGTGGAGGCCCTTTTGGCATGAGCACGCGCAAATTAATATTATTATTTTGTTTATTAGATTTTTTTTTGTTTATTCAAAATTCTGTTATCATCGTATTATTATTTTGTTATATTGTGATGTTTTCTGTTCTGATCTCTATTCTTGTAAGTTTATTATTAGTATTTTATTTATATATATGTATTTTTATTTTTTTATATTCTTTGTTTTCTGTGCGTGTAATTGCCAAATAAATGTTTTTTCTTTCTTTCTTTCAAACAGGGATATGAT